TCCTAAGTATCACCTGCTACCCTGTGTACCTAGATCTAGAGAAATGGCTCTCAAAGGATTTCACTGTCTGGCTAAGTATGGGAGAGAGTGCTGGATAAAAATCTCATTGTAGGCCTTCCCTGGTGGTGCAGCGGGTTAAAGCACGGTACTAAGAAGCTAAAGCCACTGACACATGAGTTTGATCCCTACCTGGGAGGTGACCACATGGCGCGCAGACCTCTCCTGATCCGCCCACTGCTCCCCTCAGCAGTGTACTTCGTCAACCTGCCTGTTCTGTTCCCTTCCCTGTCTCTGGTGATGCCCCTCACCCTCCGCACCTCTGGCCTGTACCCCACCTCTGTATGCATAAATAAATCTTTAAAAAAAAGAGGGATACTTAAAGAACTATATATGGAGTATTACTTGATAATTTATTATAAGACACCAATATGGTGCAGTTGGACAGTAGTATTTAAATTAGAAAACAAAACCTCCAGTTCCCTAAAAGCCATTGATATTGCCAGAGATAATGTTTTTTCAGAAGGCCTATTACACACTCACTGCCTGCAAAACAGATCCCTATAATCCCTTATAATTCTCAATGGAGCTTCAGGAAAAGTTATTGGAAAAGCCACATCTCTGCCTTGGAAGAAATGCTCTACAATTTGTATTCAGATGCTTTGACATATGCTGTATTTAAACTCTGACATTGGCTTATCCAGTGCTTTACTGCTTTACTATATTCCCAGTAGATTTGTTACTAATACATGGCTAGTATTTAATGATCAATTATATCCAGCAATTTTTAGAGATGTACTTTTTATTTCAATAGTCTATGAAATCATAAGGGTAGTGACAGATAGTGATGGAAATGTTTGAGACATCATGACATCATCATCAAAAGTGAAAGGCCTAAGTTCTCCCAAATAGGTGAAAATTCTAATGATAAAGAACATGTTGCCACCTGGAGGACTTTTGATGGGATGTTAAGTGGTGAAAGCTGAGTATTGGCAGGTGCTTGTACAACTACTTTGTGGTATCACAAACGCCAGTCTGGACCAACATAGTAAGCAAGCAAGCACGTGGAAAAAAGACTGCAATGGCGTTCTGCCGTTAGTTACTGGATCTTCTTTTTCTTATAAATGTGTGTTGCCTTACTGTTACACAGTAATGGGGCACATCCTACAATCACTATGGGAATTGATGCAGGAATCTTCAGGTGTTTTTTCTTCATTATGCCGATACTGTATTTGATTTATATTTCAGAATTAACAGTGAAATTTGTACAGATAAATTATCCTGGTAGTTAGTTTACTATTTTCTGTTTAATTTTAAAGCTTGACTCAAATTACATTGATTCAGTAGTGCAAAATACTAATTAAAACAATGGTATTACTAAAACATTGTCTTTTAAAATTCAGTTACCAGTAAAGTAATAGCTTCAGCACTTTAACTATTTCATGGAATCGTGCAGCTGGTGCTCATTTCTGGGATAATTGATATTAGAGAGAATTTCCACCAAAATTTTGTTCTGTATACAACACAGTACTTCTTCCACACGTAAACACTAACATTTGACTCTTTCAAATCTTGCTGTGTCTAATCTTTCCTACTTACTAACATTGTTTATTCTTAATTTTATGATCTCTGCTTTCAAGGATAGTACTTCGTTTTGCTAAAGAGTATAAAAACGTAGAGGAAACAGTTTAAAAAAGTTTGAACAGCAGAGGGCAGCAAATTTACTAAACGACTAAGTGTATTTACCCTGCAGTTACAAATTTAATTTGATTTCCACCGTAAGAAAACTTTCAACAAAAGCGCATATTATAATAAATTCTGACTCATAGAAATATATTTCTGTGGTAAGTAATTACCAGAGACACTACTATGTTTTATGGCTGTGATTCCATTGTAAATGTTATTGGGGGTAATTCTTTATGATTCAAATCACCAAATGAAATTCCCCACATTTTTATAGCTTAAGCGCTGAGTGACAGTCTTCACTGATAGAGAAGATTAAGATTAATGAAGGTTCAAGATGCATTTCAACTCTGTGTAATGTTTTGCCCTCAGCTTTTATCACTTACATAGTAGTTCAGTTATCATAGAGAAATGTAATATCTTTATATTATTTTCTACTTATGAATAGAGAGGCCTTCAACAGGTGACTTACATAAATTTATTTTACTTGACTCGTCGATAAACATATCCAATCCATATGGAATGTAATATTTTTATTAATATACTCTCAGCAGAGTGTTTATAGGAACATCTCAAGGGATATATTGTGGTTCCAGTGAGTTTATGATAAATTCTTGGTGACTGCAAAGAATTTCTCTAGATCAAACATTAGACTCAATATTTTTTCTAGATATATAATCAAGTGACTTGCATTTAAAATAACTTGCAATCATTTTCACTTTTCTGTTAAAAAAGCACTCTTAGAGCCCTCCCTGGTGGCACAGTAGGTTAAAGCACAGCTCTAAGAGGCTAAAGCTACTTCAGTGCGAGTTCGATCACTGACCCGGGAGGTGACCCACATGGCGCGGCAGACCTCTCCTGATCCGCCTGCTGTTCCCCTCAGCAGTGTACTTCCTTGATCTGCCTGTTCTGCTCCCCACTCTGTCTCTGGTGAATCCCCTCACCGCCCCTGGGCC